AAGCAGAATCGCTTGAGCCCAGGAGTTTGAGGTTGCTGTGAGCGTAGGCTGACGCCATGGCACTCACTAGCCTGGGACAGAGTGAGACTCTGTCTCAAAAAAAAAAAAAGAAAATAAAAAATTAGCCAGGACACGGGGCGCATGCCTGTAGTCCTGGCTACTCGGGAGGCTGAGCAGAAGGATTTGCTTGAGCCCAGAGTTTGAGGTTGTGAGCTTAGCTACGCCCGGCACTCTAGCCGGGCAACAGAGTGAGACTCTGTCTAAAAAAAAAAAAAAAATTCAATTTCTTAACTTTAGAAAAGGGTTTCTTATTCTTTAGAGAATAGGAGTATAGAATGCAAATTTTTATCCTTTTCCTCTCCTACCTATCCCAGGAACCAGATACTCAGAAAAGGATTGAGAAAGCATTATAGGGAATGTGGGTTGAAAAGAAAGAGAAATAATTTTACAGGATCTATAAAAATTTTTACAACACTACTGATATCCTTAATTTTGGTCTGTACAATATAACCTCTAAGTAAGCAGTTACCTTTTACTGTGTTTCTGAATTATTAAAACTTAAGCAAAGTTTACCAATCGTAATTGCGTCTCCTCCTTCAAATGCTTTCTTGCTTCACTTAGTGCTTGCCCTTCTGAAGTTCTGTCTTGCTTAGGACCCTTGAAAAGATAAATAAAATTGTACATATTTAGGATTTCATTAACGTATACAGAATTAGCAGACACTACCACTGCTACTTAGTAAGGGAAAATGATAATACCTAAGCAGGTAATGACAATGAACAAAGACAATAAAGAAAGTGAAAAAGTCTAGTAAATATTAAGTTTAAGCTGAACTGGGGATTTCCTGCCACTTTATTTAAAAATCCTAAGATAGGTTACCAAACCAGGTGGTAGTAGTTTTAAAAATCAAAAATAATATGGTATTCTAAAAATAATATGGTATTCACAGAAAACTATGAGTTGGACCAAAAGTTTAAAAGGTAATACACTCATTCTCCAGAGATCTCACATGTGGCATCTTGAACTATTCAGAGAGGTCACAGCTAAACATAAATAAAGTCATCAAAACATTTCCTGTGAGCAGTCACAGTTCCTTTCATGAAGTCTATACATTAAAGTCAAACACCTTACTCATAAACTGCTTGAGTCCCCATTCAGAGCCTAGTCATTTTGTAGGAACAATTTCAGTAACTGTGGATATTTGATTCCTAGGTGACAGTAGATTAGAAGCATAAAGATAAAAGGAAGTGGGGAGAGTTTTCTAGAGATAGCAACACCAACAGTGTAAAAAGTAAGAGATGCTAGTGAATTCATAAAAGGCAGGAAAAAAATCCACAGCAATCTGGGAATGTTTAAGTGTAGGTGTTAGAAGCTCTATCCGTTTCAACAGCCTCCTAAAGTAGTACTGTTATACCTGAGTACAGAATTGCCAATGTTGATAATCATAATCAGCCCCCTATACAGGGCTAAATGTGTTAACAATTAGTCCTTAATTAAGAAAGCTTATGCAGCTTTTGTTGTTTTTAGAGGAAAAAAATAAAATAAAGAAGGCTTGGACTTGTACAATACATACAATGTTTGCAAAATCTGATTATATATGTATTAAAAAGGTTGGTGCTTTAAGGGGTTAAGTTATCTAGAAAATTCATTGATGTGGTAACTCCCAATGATATCAAATAAAGTGATAAAAAGTGATGTCACTTCTTATCAAACAGTAACATGATGTAAAAATAATGGCATATTTAATATAACAAATACAACAGTTAAATACAATATGAATCATCAGTACATAAAAACAAGAAAGTAGGTCAGGTGTGGTGGCTCACGCCTGTAATCCTAGCACTCTGGGAGGCCGAGACGGGTGGATTGCTCAAGGTCAGGAGTTCAAAACCAGCCTGAGCAAGAGCAAGACCCCGTCTCTACTATAAATAGAAAGAAATTAATTGGCCAACTGATATATATAGAAAAAATCATCAGCCGGTCATGGTGGCACATGCCTGTAGTCCCAGCTACTTGGGAGGCTGAGGCAGGAGGATCGCTTGAGCCCAGGAGTTTGAGGTTGCTGTGAGCTAGGCTGACGCCACGGCACTCTAGCCTGGGCAACACAGTGAGACTCTGTCTCAAAAAAAAACACAAGAAAGTGAATGAGACTGTTTCTTAAAGTCTCTAGACAGATGTGGGTGGCCACGAAGTCAAGAAGCATGTGGTAGAAAAAGGGGCACCACCCTCCCCCAGAACATTCATCATGCCCTCAGTGAGGAATGGAGCCGAGTAAACACAGTGTGCTTTATACATGCAAATGCTTGCTGCTTAAAAGAAAGACTCTCCCCTCCCGCCAACACACTGACATGCTGCTCTCTATGAATATTTTATAAATCCAGTAAGATTAACCTTCCGATTGGATTCCAGTATGTAGGAACTTTCCTCTTTAACTCGTTCCATTTCTTCTTGCAAGGTAATAATCCTGTTGTTTGCAACTGCAAGCTGTTGATAAAAGTTTTTAAATAATTTTTATCTTTTAAAAATTAACATGGTATAAGATAATGCATGATTTGCTAGGACATAACTTCCAATCTGGATATTCTTAGAAACAAAGGAAGCTACCTGTAACTCAATAAGAGTGTTCTTATAGGGAACTTAAGAGAAATATTTTTAAAGTAGGTTAAAATAAAA